CTCTTCAAGGATCTTTTTTTCAAAATTCAAAAATATTTATAGTTTACGAACTATAAACAACAAAACCGAACATTGCTTTTCAGGGTCTTTAATTGTTTATAACTCTTATAATTTTCCATGAACTAATTTGATTTATTTTCACAATGATCTAGACAATATTCCGGATCGAATGAGCCTAATCACTTAAACACGAATCTAAACTTACAGCCCAGGCTAATATATCTGTTTATAATTATGTCGACTGAAGTTTTATTTCTTATTCTCCTGCTAAATCTGATTTCTGTTGCCGGTAATTTCTTTCTTTGTCTTCGCTTCATATCTCATCTTGCAATTCGTGTTGAGAAAAATTTAAATAACTTCAATCAGTTATCAGTTGATTCTTAACAATCGGGGGTTTGTTATTACCTGAAACGTTAAAAAAAAGGTTTTTCCAAGAGAAAATTGATTAAAATTGAAAAGAGAAGTTGCTGATTCTCTTATCAATTTTAATCAATTTTCTCTTGAAAAACTGAACCACTGATTTCATGCCTAGTTGGGAAGTAGGTTCTCTGTATAGTTGGTTCTGAGATTATAGAAACAGTTCCAAGCAAGAAATGAAACGTAAAAACAACAATTTTTGCCTTATTCATTCTCAATATATATAGTATTCAAGAATTCATATAGTTATATTGAACGTTCAGAAAAATAATCATTTTCAACCTACGTGAATGCACCCAAAATTGTACACAAGCAAGATAAAACTTAAGTGCATATACAAATTGTCCACACCTCATGACCTGCTACAAATGTCTATCTATCTATATATCTAGTAACCAACGATATAATTTATGGAATTGCAAACTGAACAGTGAACAAAAAATTAAATGTATGGTGTGGTATCAAACAGAACCCAATTTATATTTTCAACATATTGAAACCAGTTCATGATATTCTGTGTTTATAAAACAATTTTTGTTTGCCAGTTTGATTGGGAATTTTCACAAGTTCAATATAATTTGTATACTGTATGGATTATAGGAAAAAAATCATTTTGGAAATTCTTCTTTTTTGTGTTTCATGGATTGTTTGAAGCTGTTTAGAGACTACCAAAAAGCATCTACTCACTCACGTTCTTTTATTTCTCCATAATACAAATGCATTACCGAAAAAATAAAATCATCACAGAGCATAGGTTTCCTAAAAGTGGAAATTGACTGTTGATAAAGCTGGTTTCGAAGTTATTCTGTTTGTAATCCTTATTGGGCACTTTTCCGGAATCTTCTTTCCTTTCAGCTGTATTTGTCTATTATCCTGAAAATATAAGATCTATCTTAAATGTCAATCGCTTCAAAAAGAGTTTAAAGAGCATATGCTTCAAAGTCAGAGACTTGAACTTCTACGTCTACGTTATTCTCATACTTTAATATTTATCATATATTCATTTTTTCCTTTGGATCTCCTTTTCACCACATACAAGCAACATCTGATGCTTCTATGGTTTCTACGATGTTTATTCAACTGTATGTATTACTTTAATAATTTTTTTCTGTGATTTGAATCTGAATAAACATTATTATTATTTATTTTCGAATACTTCGAAAAATAAAGCCAGAAAAAAATAAAAACCATTTTCCAAAATTTCTGTTTTTTCCGGATATTTCCAGATATACTCGGAATTTCAGAACTTTCTCAACGGTATATTATACTATTAGCCACGTAAATGCTCAACTTTGTCCCAGTTTAAGCATGTTCGTATCTCTCATAGTTTCCGAGATCCCAATGGTGAGGAACAAATTTGAAACACCTTGTATATTGACTTAATAATTTTCTATATCTTCTGAGGTCATTGATTTTCACTAGGTACTATTGGTAGTTTCAAAAGAGTTTGACAGTCTAGGAGAAAAAGGTTAGTCACATTTACCAGTTCTGCCAGATTCATAAACTCTACAAGTCCTTTTGAAAGATACCTACTTATGAAATTGTTTCATGTCGCCTTTTCAAGAATCATAAGAGGACTTCAATAACATCAGGCCAGGGAATAGCGCTTCAAACAATGATTTCTTGATCTCGCAAGAAGCTTCAATAAAAAAATTTAAAAAAATATTGAATTTTCTAGATGAAGTCTTTCAGATATCTACGTCTCCGATAATTCCTAATGGGATGAGGTGGAAAGGTAAATTTTCGTTATGTGGACACCCGGCGATTTTGAAAAAATGTTTGACTGTACTTACGTATTTTGATGCGTAGATTACGAATCCGAAAGAAAAAAGCGGCGCTCTCCCTTATTCAAAAAGTTACGGCTCTTCAAAGTTCAGAAAAGGGCAACCTTTCGGCCTTCATTTTCACCAAATAAACTATTTAAAAACACAAGCATTTATTCACTAGGTCACCTTTACACCTTTTTCCTCCTTCTTTGACACTTTTCACTTCAATAATCAACATTTTTCTTATAAAAAACGAATGCTTCTCCTGGTGCAGCAACAATACGTTGTACTAATTGCAATGAAGAGTGCAAATTAAATTATGACACTTTATTGTATAGATGCAATAGAAAGCGGATTATGAAAATACCGAAGAAAAAAGCTCAGTAGGTACATTTGTTGTAATTTTTAAGAAAAGTGCCTAAAACCAATTTACGAGCTAAAGAATGAAGGCAAAAAACATTTGAATTACCTACTTTAGGAATATTGACTGCATCAGTCGTACTAATCATATCATTAATCTTATAAACGTAAAATACAGTGATATGTAACCAAAAAGCAGCTCCGTACATTTTTTCACATTTTAATAAGAAAAATGTTGATTATTGAAGTGAAAAGTGTTGTAATCTACGCATCAAAATACGTAAGTACAGTCAAAAATTTTTTCAAAATCACCGGGTGTCCACATAACGAAAATTTACCAGAAAAAAATCCGAGCTCGTAGGCCGTCGTCGAAAGGAACTTGAAGTACCGAACCTTTCGTCTGCCACTGCGGCAGACACCTTCAGCTTCTACGAAGTTGCTGAGACTTCGAAATACTGCCGTCTTCCACACAATCAACACCTTCACCACTGAAGATGTCTGCCTCAGTAGCAGACATACATTTTGATACAACAAATTTCTTTTGACCACGGCCAATCAGCTCGGATTTTATTCTTCCTAATTGTCAATGAACTTCTGAAAGGCTGCATTACAATCTTCTACACCTTGATGACATTACTTTGGTTTTTCGCAACATGCTTCAAGAATGAATCTTCATGAAGGATTGTTGTCTTTTGGGAAAACAATCTAGCAAAATCTGTTATATTATAATTACTCCATCACGATTAACCTAGGAAAATTTTGGTAAACGTTACACCTGATAAAATTTGTCACTCCGCGCCGGTCATTAACGTGTTTTGTGCTGGCATGCAATAAAATTACCGAGCGCACTTTCATTTGTTTATTTATTGCTGAACGCTCGATAAGTGCGTGCGACTATAATTTTGAACGTACGGTTCCATTTACAATTGTTAACACTTAAATTCAATTGGTGTTTGTGGACTTTTTGGAGCTCAAGTGCGTTTTTGTGATAAAGTCGCTGAGTGTTTTTGAAATCAAGTGAAATAGTTACCCGAGGTAGGCAATTGTTTATAATATCTCATTTCAATTTTCAGTAAAATTTCTAGAAACTATTATTCAATTTTTTCAAATGATGCTCATTTTATGAATGACTTATCTGTAGTACCAACATTGCCTCACTTATTGTCACAAAAAAATACATTTGACATAATGCCACTCCAACTATCTTGTCGAATGAAACAGGAAAAAACACAAAAATCAATTGGATTACGGCAAATAGGATCTTGATAACGTTTCAACTTGGATGAAGTTGATCAAAATATTTTGGCTTTCCAAGTAGAATATTCAAGATGTTCAAACACGAAAATACTGAAATTCGATAAATCTTTCACTTCATTGATGAAAATTATGAGACTTTTTCATAAGCGAACTCCAATACAAATCATAATGATTTTCTAACTTGAATCTGAGTTGAAGATGTTCACTTTACTTACTTTTCCTGAAAAGTTCAAAACACGGAAAAAAAATTACCGGAATAAATAGTTTCTGGTAATAGAAAATACATAACCTACTGAATTGTTGTTGAATTTATAGAATTTTATTATGCTTTTCAAAGTGCTGAATAGTATGATTTGAATAAACGTATGAACTCATAAACTTAAATCACTGTTTCAAGAATGATGTACATTATATATTGGTTGAATCGTTATTACAATTGTGTACTGGAAATGACATATTCGAAAAAATATGTTATAACTCTTGAAATATTAGTTTCCCTTCAGGTGGGAGAAAGTGAAAAATAACAAAATTTTTTCATATATTGTTGTTCAAACGAAAACACTCGTACATACTCGTACTTCATGTTGGAAGATAATAACTCGCTAATTTTCAACTTTGGTTTTTACTTCTGAAAGTTGTTATTAATAAGAGAACAAAAACTAGTTAATGAAATGTTATTAAAAATGTTGCTGGTTGAACCATAGTGTATATAATATTGCATGCATTTTTGGGAAAGCCAATACCCGTCATCACAATCGGAACAAATGGAAGTTGACTTCGATACTACATTGTAACATTTTCTACGAAAATTTTGAAAGCACTATTATTTATATTATCTCTTCTAGATTTTTTAAATTGTTTGATCATTGATAAGTATCCATTTATTTTTCAAACATATATTGCTAGATTTAATATTACATTCAGAGAAAAAAATACCATAGAATAGAATATAATAGAACTTTATTCGTCACTGAAGTTATTACAAAAAGGAGTACAGAATGTATAACTTATTGGACTCGTAAATTTAGAATTTAGTCTACATATAAAAATCAGCACGTGAAGAAGTTTAAAAAACAAAATACCGACATATATAAAATTATACCCAATTACAACATATTAGTTCATGTCTCCAGAAATTCCTCTAACGAGTAGAATGCCCTGGATTCTAAATACTTGTACAGGGAATTTTTGAAAATTCTCAGATAGGCAAGATCAATTTTGCTATTAAACAAATCTATAAATCTATTATAACAGAGAATACCTTTATATATGTGCGAGTTTTGCCCAATGGTTAATCTTGCGTATGGTTGATGTAGGTTTTTAAGAACGGAATTATCTTGTGTTTTGATATTCAGATTAATTTGAAATATATATAGTGAATACACTGTGAGAATACCTATCTTTGGAAAAATTGATTTACAAGATGTGTTAGGCTTGACTCCAATCATACTTCTGATGATTTTTTTTGGATTATAAATATCTGATTTAGGTAGCTTGAGCTACCTCAAAACATTAGGCCATAACTGAGTGTTGATTGAACCAATGCATAGTATGCCAATTTCAGAGTTTCAGTTTCAGCTTGGTGGTTGTTTCGTTTATATGATTTTTCCATGTCATTTTATTATCAAATATAACTCCCAGAAAGCGAGCAACATCAATCTGCTCAATGCTATTATGATTTACTCTTATTGATAAATCAAAATTCCTATTCAGAGTTTTCGTTAGAAACTGCATGAAGCATGTTTTTTCCAAATTCACCACTAGACCATTGTAAGTACACCAGTCATAGAATCCATTCGCTACAGTATTGGCTCTAAGTACCATATCACATATTGATTTTTCTGATATAAGAAAATTGGTATCGTCGGCATACATCATTATATTTTGCGCACTTGGTCATGAGTTAATCATATCATTCATGAAAATGATGAATAGTACTGGGGCCATTACAGAACCCTGTGGAACACACATATTAATCGTTTTTTCTTTTGATTTATTAGTATTCAATACTGCAATCTGTTTTCTATCTTTCAAATATGCTGTAATCCAGTTATTCGCAACTACTCGAACTCCTATTCGATATAATTTGTCTATCAAAGTATCATGACTCACAGTATCAAATGCTCTGCTTAAGTCGAAGTATAGACCCATTGTGTTTTGTTTTTTGTTTGAATAGTTATAGATGTTTTCACAGAGTTCTGCGACTGCTGTTGATGTTGGTTTATTTCGCCTAAATCCGTGTTGATAGTTCAACACTAAATCATGATGTTCAAAAAATTTATTAAGGCGGCAAATTGAAAGCAAAGTCGAGAATTTTTGATAACTGACTTTGTAAGCAGATGTTTCTATAATTATTAACGTCATATTTGGATCCTTTATTATTATATATAGGTACTGATTTGGAGGTTTTCAAATTTGTTGGGTATTGACCTGTAACGAACGTTTCATTGATTAGGTGTGCTAGTGGTTCTTTTATATGTTCTCTGACATATCTCAACGGTTTTCCAGAAATGTCATCAATACCTTCAGCTGTTTTCTTGGTGGTTTTCATATAATCCTATAATCCTCAATTTCATACGCATCAGTAGGAGAGAGAAAGAATGTATGATGGAAATGAGATATTAGTTTGATTTTATCATTATCAACTGGGGGAAATTGCAAATCATTGAAGTAATTACTGAATATATTACAAATTTCCCTCAGATCTGTCACACATTCTCTATTATAATTGAGCTTTGATACTGATTGATTTCGACTATGATTTTTGGATTCGTTAATAATTTTCCAACTTTCTTTCATCCTGTTTGAGGCATTTTTTATTCTTTCATCATTTAATTATACTTTTCTTGCTTTAGTTTTCCTTTATATAGTTTTTTCAATGTATCAAATTTATTTTTAATGGTCATATTTGATGAACTTTCATTAATGTTTGTCTAATCACAGAGCATATTATGAAGTTCTTTCAGTTCTTTGGTATACCAAACTTTACAGCGTTTCTTTATGCGTTCTTTTAAATGGAAATGAGATATCGTAGTAGAATTTCAAAGTGTTGAAAAAGTTACTGAATTTATCATCCACTGTGGAAAAAGAATAAACATCTGCCTATTGTTCTTTTTCGATCAGATTTTTAAAGTTCATCATATTATTTTCAGAGTAAACCCGTTTATATTGTATTTCTGTTCTTTCATTTTTTCCCACATCCAAACTAAATTGGCATAATTGAAATATATGATCCGATATGTGGTTATCTTTTACCAATTTTGAACACAATGAAATATTTGAAAACATAAGATCAATACAGGTAGAGCTTTTGTCAGTGATTCGTCTGGCTTGTTCTATGTGGTTTTCCATGCCAAATTCATTGAACAGATTGTTCAATTCTCTAGAGATATTATTGTCAGTAAATATATTTATATTGAAATCACCACATACTAAGTACTGATTTGAGCATGAGTATATATCACACATCAGGTCATACATTTTTTCAATAAAAATCCCACCGTCACTATTTGGTGTCCTATAAACTGTGATGACATATAATTTGTTACTGCTGACTGGGAGATTTACAGAGATCACTGTAGCTTCAAAGTGTTTCTCAATATTGTGATTATGGGCTATTGATTTACAGTTTGTAACATATTTTGCTCTCACAAATATACAAACTCCATCATGTTGAAATTCTTCACGGCAGAAGCTACTTACCATAGAAAAATCATATAATTTGAATGACATCATCTCCTCCGATTTGAGCCAATGTTCTGAGATGCAGCAAATATCTACACTATGTCAGTCAAAAATAATTTCCAGATCCTCAGATTTGTCAAAAATACCCTGTACATTAAAATGCATTATATTGAGTGTTTTTGTTATATCTATTTTCACTTTTTTTGTTTCTAATACCCACATATAACCCATACATTTATACAGCCTAAATAACTATGAATATTTTCTGCTGAAAGAGTTGACTGTCGAATGATTTGAATATGTTTTTGACATTCTACCACTCCGTCTTGATACAAAAAAAAATGGGAATCATCCAAAGAAAAGAAGGAAGCTATCAATTTTTTGAAAGAAGTACCTGTATACATCGATGTGTAGCAGAGAAGTAATTTTCAGATACAAACTGGATGAAGAAGCCCTACTGAAACAGCTACTTCCACACAAACATTGAATTATACTAAAGAAAAAGTTTTTCGAAACAAATACTTCTATATGAACACTGAATTATACAAAAAAAACATTTCTCTACTCAGTTTGTATTCCAAAAATTCGTTATGGAAATAAATCAGGTATCATTCACAGGATTTCTACTCAATATGCTGAATGAAAAGTAAAAATTTCACTTATATGGAACACTGTCATCCTCACTGGTAGATATTGATGTTTCGCCTTCAGTAACAATCTGGATAACATAAAAAATCATAATTTATGAATAAATTCTGTGTTTTTTCTTATAATTTTATCCAGATTGGTACTGAAGAGCCCTAAGGCAAGTGTCTTACGACGATGTCTACCAGTGAGGATAACAGTGTTCCATGTGAGTGAAATCTTCACCTTTCATTCGAAATATTCTTCAGAAATCCTGTGAATGATATCTGATGTTATTCCATAATGAATCTTTGGAATACAAACTGTGTAGAAGGAAGTGTTTTTTGTAAAATTCAAGGTTCATATAGAATTACTTGTTTTGAAAGAATTTTTCTTACGTATAATTCAATGTTTATATGAAAGTAGCTGTTTCAGGAGAGTTTTTCTTTCAGTTCGTGTTTGAAAGTTGC